TCGTGCTGTAGTTGTCCCAGGTGTCGCACAGTTGTTCTGAGTGTCGCGTAGTTGTTCTGAGTGTCGCGTAGTTGTCCTGGGTGTCGCGATGTTGTCCTGGGTGTCGCATAGGTGTCCTGGGTATCGCGTAGTTGTCCTGGGTGTCGCGTAGTTGTCCTGGGTGTCGCAATGTTGTCCTGGGTGTCGCATAGTTATTCTGGGTGTCACGTAGTTGTCCTGGGTGTCGCGTAGTTGTCCTGGGTGTCGCGTAGTTGTCCTGGGTGTCGCGTAGTTGTTCTGGGTGTCGCGATGTTGTCCTGGGTGTCGCGTAGTTGTCCTGGGTGTCACGTAGTTGTCCTGGGTGTCGCTATGTTGTCCTGGGTGTCGCGTAGTTGTCCTGGGTGTTTCAAAGCTGTTTTTGATGTCTTAAAAGATTTTCCTGTGCGTGCTAAAGTTCTCTTGCATGCGGTGGACTTTGCCTGAGGTGGTGGTGAGGTGCACTGGGTGAAGCTGTTTACCAAGGTGAGTTGTTTAGCCATAACGGGAGGTGATACACGTCAAAACCCCGGGGCTCCCTTCTAATATTTCCCCTTTCAGAAGAAAACAGACGACCTGCGTTGTCACCGTTACTCGTGTGAGATTTTTATGGTGCCCCAGCCAGGCTATGTGAAAGTCGCAATATATCTTGGGCAAAATAAGAGGCTTTCGTCCGAACCTGAGCCGGTGTTCATCCCTTTTTGAATCAAATAAAAATGGCTGGTTATGAGTCGTCTTCAGTTTTCCAGAGGTAATTGTGGGATCACACTGAAGTTAAAATTAATTTACCTGAAGCACAATAAATTGACACTAATGCGAAGTGGAGTGGCTTGTTATCGGAGTATTGGAGAAAGGCTCCTCTATGTTCCCCCCTCAAGGAAGGTTCCTTGATGTTGGTGAGGGGCTCTTGATTTAGGGAATTGGATCTGTGCTCCAGTTCCCCGAATTAAGCCTGAATGCCTTCCACACCCCCCCCCAGGCGCTGTATAATCTTCCGGGTTTAGCGCTTCCCCCTTGATTATAATAATAATCCTCTATGTTCCTTTCTCAGGTGATAACTTCTCATACCATAGGTACTTTATGACCCCTACGGGTTTAGCTCTACCCCATGAATATAATCCAAGTGTAATGAAAAAAAAAAACGTATATCACTTGTGTCTTTACTGCTGACAATAAAAATAACTAAATATTAGACATGAGTCTGGTTCAGTTTGTCGGTTTTATAAACCCTTGATAATATAATCGAAGGGTCAGGAAGGATTCTGGTAGGCCTAGAGAGAATACGTAACTCTAAAGGGGATGTCGTTAGGCCTAGTGAACTGGAGGTAGTCCTAGAGGGGACATGGATATGTCTAGAGATGTGTAGTCCCAGACAGGGTTTCGATAGGCTTGTAGGGATAGAAGGCTGATACCGGGATAAGAGATAGATAATTCATGGGTGGGAGGGATTGCAGAGGAGGAAAGGTGGAAAGGGTTGACCAAGAGGATGTTTGGAAGATACTAAGAAGAAGTGAAAACACGAGCTGTTCTCTGTATATGTGTGAAAGTCATCACAAGTGAACAAAACCGAAAAAAAAATCCAAACACACAAATCACAACAGCAGAAATGATAACACTGGAGACAATAACAAAATCAAACGAACAATGCTACTTATGTCATCTATAAAAATCACAAATATAATCATAACAAACCGCTAAACCCATAAGGGTTATGCAGCGCTGCTCAAATATTAATAATAATGATAATAAATGTTAATTTAAATAATTATTTAAAAATCAAATACAAGCTTGTGCTTTTATTAACCCAAAGACGAATTAAAAAAAAATACGGAAACATGTCCATCTTTTCAACACTAAATCTTTTTGGATGAATAGCAGCAGCAGCAGCAGCAGTAGTAGTAGTAGTAGTAGTAGTAGTAGTAGTAGTAGTAGTAGTAGTAGTAGTAGTAGTAGTAGTAGTAGTAGTAGTAGTAGTAGTAGTAGTAGTAGTAGTAGTAGTGTAGTAGTAATGTAGTAGTAGTAGTAGTAGTAGTAGTTAGTAGTAGTAGTAGTAGTAGAGTAGTAGTTAGTAGTAGTAGTATTAGTGTGTAGTGTAGTTTAGTAGTAGTAGTAGTAGTAGAGTAGTAGTTATGTAGTAGTGGTAGTATGGTAGTAGTAGTAGTAGTAGTAGTAGTAGTAGTAGTAGTAGTAGTAGTAGTAGTAGTGGTAGTAGTGGTAGTAGTAGTAGTAGTAGTAGTAGTAGTAGTAGTAGTAGTAGTAGTGTAGTAGTGGTAGTAGTAGTAGTAGTAGTATAGTAGTAGTAGAGTAGTAGTAGTAGTAGGTAGTGTAGTAGTAGTAGTAGTAGTAGTAGTAGTAGTAGTAGTAGTAGTAGTAGTAGTGGTAGTAGTAGTAGTAGTGGTAGTAGTAGTAGTATAGTAGTAGTAGTAGTAGTAGTTAGTATGGAGTAGTAGTAGATGTAGTGTAGTAGTAGTAGTAGTAGTAGTAGTAGTTAGTAGTGAGTAGTAGTAGTAGTAGTAGATGTAGTAGTAGTAGTAGTAGTAGTAGTAGTAGTAGTGTAGTAGTAGTAGTAGTAGTAGTAGTAGTAGTAGGTAGTAGTAGTAGTAGAGTAGTAGTAGTAGTAGTGTAGTAGTAGTAGTAAGTAGTAGTAGTAGTAGTAGTGGATAGTAGTAGTAGTAGTGAGTAGTAGTTGTAGTAGTAGTAGTAGTAGTAGTAGTAGTAGTAGTAGTAGTAGTAGTAGTAGTAGATATGTAGTGTAGTAGTAGTAGTGGAGTATAGTAGTAGTAGTAGTAGTTAGTAGTAGTAGTAGTTAGTAGTAGTAGTAGTAGTAGTAGTAGTGGTAGTAGTAGTAGTAGTAGTAGTAGTAGTAGTAGTAGTGGTAGTAGTAGTAGTAGTAGTAGTAGTAGTAGTAGTAGTATAGTAGTGTTTAGTAGTAGTAGTAGTATAGTAGTAGTAGTAGTAGTAGTAGTAGTAGTAGTAGTAGTAGTAGTAGTGTAGTAGTGGTAGTAGTAGTAGTAGTAGTAGGAGGAGGAAGAGGAGGAGGAGTAGGAGTTAATACATTGGGTCTCAGAGATACAAGCCAGACATGGTCGTAGAGATCCAATAAGCTGCGCCCAGCTTATAAGCTTAACATCTCCGTGGTATAAATGCATGCAAATGAGCCCCTTGATGCTGGTGAAGGTGTCGTGGTGCAGGGAATACGAGATATTGCCCCCTAACCTTGGATCAAACCTGATGACCTCCAATTCCACAGGCGGTGGATCACACGTGCGAGTCTAGCGCTTAGCCACGATTGCAACAACAGCAACAACAACAACAACAACAATGATAATAATAATAATAATAATAATAATAATAATAATAATAATAATAATAATAATAATAATAATAATAATAACAATAATAATAATAATAATAATAATAATAATAATAATAATAATAATAATAATAATAATAATAATAATTATAATAATGCTAGATTTATTGGATTTTTTACTATGTCTGGTGGCATTTAGTCAGAAACCATCAAGCAAATGCTTTGGTAATTAGTTTTATTAAGAGAGCAAGTGGAAGAACAGGTAAGTGACGGACTTTTCAATTGCTGAAGTGTCGTCTATTAGAAATATGAAAGGCAATGATTCATGAATATTAAAGATTGTGTAATGAATTGGTGAAAGTACTGGGTCATCACCAGTGTTTAGTGTTAGGAGTCATCACCAGTGTTAGGAGTCATTATCAGTGTTAGGAGTCATTATCAGTGTTAGGAGTCATTGTCAGTGTTAGGAGTCATTACCAATGTTAGGAGTCATCACCAGTGTTAGGAGTCATTATCAGTGTTAGGAGCCATTACCAATGTTAGGAGTCATCACCAGTGTTAGGAGTCATTATCAGTGTTAGGAGTCATTGTCAGTGTTAGGAGTCATTACCAATGTTAGGAGTCATCACCAGTGTTAGGAGTCATTATCAGTGTTAGGAGTCATTACCAATGTTAGGAGTCATCACCAGTGTTAGGAGTCATTATCAGTGTTAGGAGTCATTACCAATGTTAGGAGTCATCACAAGTGTTAGGAGTCATTATCAGTGTTAGGAGTCATTACCAATGTTAGGAGTCATCACCAGTGTTAGGAGTCATCACCAGTGTTAGGAGTCATCACCAGTGTTAGGAGTCATTACCAATGTTAGGAGTCATTACCAGTGTTAGGAGTCATTACCAGTGTTAGGAGTCATTCAATGTTAGGATATCAAGTGTAGAGTCATTACCAAGTTAGATCACACCAGTGTTAGGAGTCATTATCAGTGTTAGGAGTCATTACCAATGTTAGGAGTCATTACCAGTGTTAGGAGTCATTACCAATGTTAGGAGTCATCACCAGTGTTAGGAGTCATTATCAGTGTTAGGGGTCATCATCACTGTTAGGAGTCATCACTAGTGTTAGGAGTCATCACCAGTGTAAGGAGTCATCACCTGTGTTAGGAGTCATTATCAGTGTTAAGAGTCATCACCAGTGTTAGGAGTCATTATCAGTGTTAGGAGTCATCATCACTGTTAGGAGTCATCACCAGTGATAAGAGTCATCACCAGTGTAAGGAGTCATCACCAGTGTTAGGAGTCATTATCAGTGTTAGGAGTCATCACCAGTGTTAGGAGTCATTATCAGGGTTAGGAATCATCACCAGTGTTAGGAGTCATTATCAGTGTTAGGGGACATCATCACTGTTAGGAGTCAGCACCAGTGTTAGGAGTCATCACCAGTGTTAGGAGTCATCACCAGTGTTAGGAGCCATCACCAGTGTTAGGAGTCATCACCAGTGTTAGGAGTCATCGTCAAAGTTAGGAGTCATCACCAGTGTTAGGAGTCATCAGTGTTAAGAGTCATCACAAGTGTTAGGAGTCATTATCAGTGTTAGGGGTCATCATCACTGTTAGGAGTCATCACCAGTGTTAGGAGCCATCACCAGTGTTAGGAGCCATCACCAGTGTTAGGAGTCATCACCAGTGTTAGGAGTCATCACTAGTGTTAGGAGCCATCATCAGTGTTAGGAGTCATTATCAGTGTTGGGAGTCATCATCAATGTTAGGAGTCATCACCAGTGTTAGGAGTCATCACTAGTGTTAGGAGTCATCATCAGTGTTAGGAGTCATCACCAGTGTTACGAGTCATCAGTGTTAAGAGTCATCACAAGTGTTAGGAGTCCTCACCAGTGTTAGGAGTCATCACAAGTGTTAAGAGTCCTCACCAGTGTTAGGAGTCATTATCAGTGTTAAGAATCATCACCAGTGTTAGGAGTCATTATTAGTGTTAGGAGTCATCACCAGTGTTAGGAGTCATTATCAGCGTAAGGAGTCATCACCAGTGTTAGGAGTCATTATCAGTGTTAGGAGTCATTATCAGTGTTAGAAGTCATCATCAATGTTAGGAGTCATCTCCAGTGTTAGGAGTCATCACCAGTGTTAGGAGTCATCATCAATGTTAGGAGTCATCACCAGTGTTAGGAGTCATCACCAGTGTTAGGAGTCATTAACAGTGTTAGGAGTCATCACCAGTGTTAGGAGTCATCACTAGTGTTAGGAGTCATCACCAGTGTTAGGAGTCATCACTAGTGTTAGGAGTCATCACCAGTGTTAGGAGTCATTATCAGTGTTAGGAGTCATTAACAGTGTTAGGAGTCATTATCAGTGTTAGAAGTCATCATCAATGTTAGGAGTCATTATCAGTGTTAGGAGTCATTAACAGTGTTAGGAGTCATCACCAGTGTTAGGAGTCATCACCAGTTTTAGGAGTCATCATCAATGTTAGGAGTCATCACCAGTGTTAGGAGTCATTAACAGTGTTAGGAGTCATCATCAATGTTAGGAGTCATTATCGGTATTAGGAGTCGTCACCAGTGTTAAGTGTAATGAGTCATCACCAGTGTTAGGAGTCATCACTAGTGTTAGGAGTCATCACCAGTGTTAGGAGTCATTATCAGTGTTAGGAGTCCTCACCAGTTTTAGGAGTCATTACCAGTGTTAGGAGTCATCACCCGTGTTAGGAGTCATTATCAGTGTTAGGAGTCATCACCAGTGTTAGCAGTCATCACCAGTGTTAGGAGTCATTATCATTGTTAGGAGTCATCGCGAGTGTTAGAAGTCATCACCAATGTTAGGAGTCATTATCAGTGTTAGGAGTCATCACCAGTGTTAGGAGTCATTATCATTGTTAGGAGTCATTATCAGTGTTAGGAGTCATCACATGTGTTAGGAGTCATCACCAGTGTTAGGAGTCATCACCAGTGTTACGAGTCATCAGTGTTAAGAGTCATCACAAGTGTTAGGAGTTCTCACCAGTGTTAGGAGTCATCACAAGTGTTAGGATTCCTCACCAGAGTTAGGAGTCATAACCAGTGTTAGGAGTCATCACCAGTGTTAGGAGTCATCACCAGTGTTAGGAGTCATCACCAGTGTTAGAAGTCATCATCAATGTTAGGAATCATCACCACTGTTACGAGTCATTATCAGTGTTAGGAGTCATCACATGTGTTAGGAGTCATCACCAGTGTTAGGAGTCATCACCAGTGTTAGGAGTCATCACCAGTGTTAGGAGTCGTCACCAGTGTTAGGAGTCGTCACCAGTGTTAGAAGTCATCATCAATGTTAGGAATCATCACCACTGTTACGAGTCATTATCAGTGTTAGGAGTCATCACCAGTGTTAGGAGTCATCACCAGTGTTAGAAGTCATCATCAATGTTAGGAATCCTCACCAGTGTTAAGAATCATCACCAGTGTTAGGAATCATCACCAGTGTTAGGAATCATCACCAGTGTTAGGAGTCATCACCAGTGTTAGAAGTCATCATCAACGTTAGGAATCATCATCAATGTTAGGAATCATCACCACTTTTACGAGTCATGATCAGTGTTAGGAGTCATCACATGTGTTAGGAGTCATCACAAGTGATAGGAGTCATTATCAGTGTTAGGAGTCATTATCAGTGTTAGGAGTCATTATCAGTGTTAGGAGTCATTATCAGTGTTAGGAGTCATTATCAGTGTTAGGAGTCATTATCAGTGTTAGGAGTCATTATCAGTGTTAGGAGTCATTATCAGTGTTAGGAGTCATCACCAGTGTTAGGAGTCATCACCAGTGTTAGGAGTCATTACTAGTGTTAGGAGTCATCACCGGTGTTAGGAATCATCACCAGTGTTAGGAATCATCACCAGTGTTAGGAATCATCACCAGTGTTAGGCGTCATCACCAGTGTTAGGCGTCATCACTGGTGTTAGGAGTCATCAACATAGTGTCAAGAATCATCAACATCTCTTAAAGATTCAGATCCAGTAAAGTAGTGAGCAACCCTTTGAATAATGATAAAATGCTTTAAATTATTTCATAAAAAAGCGAGAATTTGTTAAATATTCCACCTTAATTTCATATTTTCTTTCTTGTGTAAATTGGTCCCGACAAAAGTAAGTTAAAATTATTATTTTATACACGAGCGTCTCAGGCGAGAGTTTCGCTAAATGTTAAGTCTTGTCTGGTAAAGTTTATTAAGTTACTACACGGCACAATGCGTGTTAATTATGAATTAATTTAGAATTTAAAGAATTCCTTTGTTGGCTTGCGGGACATTTCTTGTGGTAAATGTGTGACTAACGAGATAGTTTATCACAACAGGTCAACACCAGGCAGCCGTGCAACAGGGAGGACTCAGCTCTGCACCCGTTGCAAACCCCGTCACCCACCTCCTTCTCTTGTTGCTGTTGATGATGTTGCAGCGCGTCAAGACCTGGCAGTGAAGAACAATGATGTCACCACCACCACAGCGAGGACTGACTTCAGTGGGGAGCTCACACTACCAACATTCCCACCACAACAGAGACATCAGTGTAAATGCTGAACTCACTCGTCAACTCACTGAAGTATTTCTAATGTTATGGTTGTGAGAACAAGACTTATTTGAGAACATTATTAATCAGGGTGGTTTTACATCCTGAGTAAGTGAACAAGAGTTTATATAGAAAATCCCAGAGGCTTTGCTATATTTAAGAAAGTGTGGCAACCTGTGTGTTTTGACCAGTTCAGTTGCCACTATACAGGACATAAGTGCTTACAACACTAACCCATCAGACAATACTAACAAGGTGCTATCAGTCACAAGTGACAGACTGGGTTCTGATTGTTAAAAGCTGTGATTATGTACTTAAAAAGGAACCGGCCAGCAGGCGACATGGTACTGGCTAGTGATATGTTTGAAGCATCTGACAATCTGCGTAATCTGCTTTGCAATCTGGTGCCTCTTTTCTGCATCTGCTAGCAACTCCACTTCGGCAGTACCTGGTCTACTTGACTGCCGAAGACCATAGGCCTCGCAGAAAGGCCTCCTGGTTGCCAGCCTGATCCTCCTGGGATCAGAAAAAAAACAAGCGATATGAAAGTAAATAAAACAGTTTATTATTTTAAAACTGTCCAGAATGTGTTGTTGCTCTAAGATTAGTTTGTATCAGAAAGTTATATACTGTATCTGGTTCACTGTGAAAGACGAACATTTTGAACTCTTAAAAAGATGTTCCAATATTTCGCCCACGAATAATCAGTGTATTCATAAATTTCTAGACATGGCCATTTCTAGAAATTAATTGCAGTATGTTTCGAACCTTGAATCTTTTCATTATCTGTTTTCGACTTGTTTTCACGTTTTGTAAAATATATAATTTTTGCTTTTCATATTGTTAGTGTATCTCAAACAATATAGAAAATTAGTTTGTGTACGAGATGTGATTCAGAATCACCCCTAACTACCTAAAGCTCATGCAGTATTTTGTGTATAGAAGAATGTTTGAATGTTAACTGAATGTTTAGTAACTAGAAGGACCGAGGCAGCCACTAGAATGGTTCTAGTAAATCACTAAGCTGAAGGGAGGAGAGTCAACCACAACACTGACTCCAAGTATATCTCTGAGACATTGCGAGTTGATTAGAATCTCAGTCAATTGATCAACTCCTCCACAATTTGGAGAAGAAAGTTAAGACACGACGTTTAGATCCGTCCTGGTTCAGGAATGATCGAAACGTTAGAAACTTTTCCCCCGGACTGGGTTAGTTGTGAATTGTTCCAGCCGCTGTATCGATGTGGCCCCCTCACTCGTGGTGACTTTCCCGTTATAACAAATGCAAGTGTTAGCAAGCAGTGACATTTTGTATTTTGGTGTTGATTTACAGGTCATTTGAGGCAACTCAAAGTTAAATGTGGATAAAGTGAACAAATATATACATATATTTATTCATTTACATATTTTGTTTCACATAATCCGGCAAATAAAATTATCCACAATTATATATATGTACGTGGTAACCAAACAAAGACGTCCTTGTCGAGTAAAAACAGCATATGATAAAAGACAAGAAACTCGTACCATAGCATGCTATCTATTTTTTTAACAAAATTGGATATATCAGCAGTGTGCTGCTACTCTGTACTATATAAACATGACAGAGTGGGAACAAAAGCTAGGTAGGTTTCCCTCTCATATTTCATCAAGCAGGATGGGGCTCATACAAGGTATTGAAATGTGTCAGGCTGAGCCGGGAGACTTCGGCAGGACAATAAGGATATCATCAAGCATTCCAGCAAGCGTACGTCAGCTGTTAGAATTTCATGGTGCAGGTGGTGGCAGGTAGGTAGTGACTACATGTACAGCAGGTGGTGGCAGGTAGGTAGTGACTCCATGTACAGCAGGTGGTGGCAGGTAGGTACTGACTACATGTACCGCAGGTGGTAGCTAGCAGGTAGTGACCACATGTACCGCAGGTGGTGGCTGGCAGGTACTGACTACATGTACCGCAGGCAGATATCAACTACTTGCTACCACATGTGGAGGCAGGCAGGCACTGAAGCCAGGCAGGTACAGAAACCAGGCAGGCAGAGATGCCAGGCAGATACTGAAGCCAGGCAGGTAGAGAAGCCAGTCAGATGCAGAAGCCAGACAGGAACTACCCACACGTTACACTCGACTCATCCAGATTAATTCATAAAAGAAATACTCAGCAGAAAACTAACAACCCTCTCCAAGTAAACAGTCCCACCACAAATACATTATTACTTATCTCTTGTCTTGAACTGACAGATATACTGATTCTCCAAAATCCTTAATTTTAAATTATTTTGTGCCGCCGCTGCAGTTTTAAAGTGGTGACGACTCTCACATAACTGATAAGTGGAAAATACAGCCGTAGTGTTCAGAAACGTTTATCCTTGTACTTGTATCGTTAAAACGTTTTACCCTGATGGGAGAAGCGGATTCAACAAGCGAAACGTCTAAAAAAAAAAACAAATTACCACTCTGTAAAATGAGTTTATTGTCCACGATTTTCAAGTCATTACCATAAAATGGGTTAGATTTAAGAAATAAAGGAAGAGTCGTTGAGGTAATGTCACGTCTAAATTCCAACCAATGAGGAGATTTCTTGGCTCTTTAACACCGAAGACAAAACTGGGTTCTGTTTCCATGGATTTATTACAATATTCAATATATTTTTCGCCAAGATTGATCCAAGGGAAGGGGAGGATTAATTCAAGGGAAGGGGAGGATTGATCCAAAGGAAGGGGAGGATTGATTCAAGGGAAGGGGAGGATTGATCCAAGGGAAGGGGAGGATTGATTCAAGGGAAGGGGAGAATTGATCCAAGGAAAGGGGAGGATTGATCCAATTCCTAGACTCAAGATTTAGCCAAACTCTTATAAGAGGATGAGTTATTCCTTGAGTTTTTATGTCCATCTTATCCCAACTCTATCTTTTACTTCAGATGTTTTCTTTCCATTATCAGTCCTTCCGTTTATCACCCTTCTCTCTCTCTCTCTCTCCTCTCTCTCTCTCTCTCTCTCTCCTCTCTCTCTCTCTCTCTCTCTCTCTCTCTCTCTCTCTCTCTCTCTCTCTCTCTTTCTCTCTCTCTTCTCTCTCTCCTCTCTTTCTATCTGTCTGTCTGTCTGTCTGCTCTCTCTCCCTCTCTCTCTCTCTCTCTCTCTCTCTCTCTCTCTCTCTCTCTCTCTCTCTCTCTCTCTCTCTCTCTCTCTCTCTCTCTCTCTCTCTCTCTCTCTCTCTTTTCTCTCTCTCTTTCTCTCTCCTCTCTTTCTATCTGTCTGTCTGTCTGTCTGCCTCTCTCTCTCTCTCTCTCTCTCTCTCCTCTCTCTCTCTCTCTCTCTCTCTCTCTCTCTCTCTCTCTCTCTCTCTTACCTCTCCTCTCTCTCTCTCTCTCTTCTTCTCTCTTTCTCTCTCTCTCTTTCTCTCTGTTACTCCCACACTTCGATCTACCTTCACAGTATTTTTCCCCTCATTTAAATTCCTCTTACCATTTCTCTCTTCTCTCGTCTTCACTGTTCCTTTCTATGATAGTTCTAGGCCTTTCGTGTTACAATCAACTCATCAGGAGCTTACAGTGATGCAGAAAAGAGGAGGTCCAAACAAATACGGTCGCAAGAAACGTCCCTGATGGAGCTCACTCCAACAAGGACTTTTCCTGTGACCGTATATGCTTGGACCCCCGCCTCCTCTTTTCTGCATCATTGCAAGCTCCTGATGATGTGTTGACTGCAACACGAACGGCCTAGATCTATTATTCAACTCACCCCGTGGTTATTTTACACCTTGTATCGCTTGTTCGAGACACAAGATGTAAATAAATACTGATTATTATGTAATACTATCTTATGCTATCCTTGTTTCTCTCTTCCTTTTTTCGTATTATTAATAGTACTGTTTAGGTAATAGTTACTTTCACTTGGGCTCTTTTTTTTATAGAAAGCAACTGTACGTACTTTCTCCCACGTATTGAATACTTTCCTTCTCCCACACAGAGGTCAAAGAAGAGCAGCAGCCATTCCTAATCTTGATGTGTAAATAAGAGTGTAATAAATACTGGTCAATTAAAGAAACGAACCCACACTGAGGGGACGAACTCAAATGAAAAAAAACAAGGAAATATTGTATTTTCTGGCCTGCAATTGAGCAGCGTAACCAGATCACACCAAAGACGCAACCAGACCATGTCTCATGAGAACAGATCAGACACAACCAGGCCAGGTCACACCAGACCAGGCTAAGACAGACCAGGTTAAAGTAAGCCAGGACACACCACACGCCAGGCCACACACTACGTTACCCTAGATAAGACGGTATATAAATCACCTTGCAGAACAATTAAATACTCGTTACCCCGATATTGGAAAACTGTCTAACGACCGTACAAAAGCTGTACGAGGCTCCTGAAGCTCCGTGATGCTGCAACTCGCAACAGAAGGGCAAAGAAAAGAGACAAGGTCTCGCTCTGTATAGATCTGGTAAAAGCTTAACACAGAATGATAATCTGTCACAATAAAAGCTTGTTATATTGGGTCTAGTTTTTCAATATTGTGTTGCTTAATTTAAATAAGGTGAGACAGGTAACAAGGATGACTTATGGAGCAAGTGAAACCTAGTATATAAGAGTTTACCTGGAGTTTACCGTGAGAGGGTTTCGGGGGGTCAACGCCCCCGCGGCCCGGTCTGAGACCAAGACTCATGGTGGATCAGGGTTGATCAACCAGGCTATTACTGCTGGCCGCACGCAAGCTGACATACGAACCACAGCCCGGTTGGTCAGGTACTGACTTTAGGTGCCTGTCCAGTGAAGAGAGCCAGGGATCAATTGGGAGGCAATTCAACAGTCTTGGGTCCCGGACACTTACTCTGTTGTCTCCCAGTGCACTCGTGGCGCCCCTGCTTTTCATCTGGGGAATGTTGCATCTCCTGCCGAGTGCTTCATAATCCGAAACAATTATTATATTCATAGGGAAGCTCTAAATCCGTAAGGGTTATGCAGGTCCTGCGAGGAGGGGAAGGTTAGTCAGCTTCGAGCTAAGGAATGTGATAACAACTGGCAGTCCTCGGGTCAAGAACCTGTCACCTGGAAACATCCAGGTGATTTACGCAGGTCAACGAAGACATTGAGACACTAAGACAACAACACCCAGCAGATCCCACAATCATTAGAATCCTAACGCCCAGCAGATCACACAATCATTAGAATCCTAACGCCCAGCAGATCACACAATCATTAGAATCCTAACGCCCAGCAGATCACACAATCATTAGAATCCTAACACCCAGCAGATCACACAATCATTAGAATCCTAACGCCCAGCAGATCACACAATCATTAGAATCCTAACGCCCAGCAGATCACACAATCATTAGAATCCTAACACCCAGCAGATCACACAATCATTAGAATCCTAACGCCCAGCAGATCACACAATCATTAGAATCCTAACACCCAGCAGATCCCACAATCATTAGAATCCTAACGCCCAGCAGATCACACAATCATTAGAATCCTAACACCCAGCAGATCACACAATCATTAGAATCCTAACACCCAGCAGATCCCACAATCATTAGAATCCTAACGCCCAGCAGATCACACAATCATTAGAATCCTAACACCCAGCAGATCACACAATAATTAGAATCCTAACACCCAGCAGATCACACAATCATTAGAATCCTAACACCCAGCAGATCCCACTATCATTAGAATCCTAACAACCAACAGATCACACAATCATTAGGATCCTAACACCCAGCAGATCACACAATCATTAGAATCCTAACACCCAGCAGATCCCACTATCATTAGAATCCTAACACCCAGCAGATCACACAATCATTAGAATCCTAACGCCCAGCAGATCACACAATCATTAGAATCCTAACACCCATCAGATCCCACAATCATTAGAATCCTAACGCCCAGCAGATCACACAATCATTAGAATCCTAACACCCAGCAGATCACACAATCATTAGAATCCTAACACCCAGCAGATCACACAATCATTAGAATTCTAACCCCCAGCAGATCCCACAATCATTAGAATCCTAACACCCAGCAGATCACACAATCATTAGGATCCTAACACCCAGCAGATCCCACAATCATTAGAATCCTAACACCCAGCAGATCACACAATCATTAGAATCCTAACACCCAGCAGATCCCACAATCATTAGAATCCTAACACCCAGCAGATCACACAATCATTAGAATCCTAACACCCAGCAGATCCCACAATCATTAGAATCCTAACACCCAGCAGATCACACAATCATTAGAATCCTAACACCCAGCAGATCCCACAATCATTAGAATCCTAACACCCAGCAGATCCCACAGTCATTAGAATCCTAACACCCAGCAGATCCCACAATCATTAGAATCCTAACACCCAGCAGATCACACAATCATTAGAATCCTAACACCCAGCAGATCACACAATCATTAGAATCCTAACACCCAGCAGATCACATAATCATTAGAATCCTAACACCCAGCAGATCCCACAATCATTAGAATCCTAACACCCAGCAGATCCCACAATCATTAGAATCCTAACACCCAGCAGATCCCACAATCATTAGAATCCTAACACCCAGCAGATCACACAATCATTAGAATCCTAACACCCAGCAGATCCCACAATCATTAGAATCCTAACACTCAGCAGATCCCACAATCATTAGAATCCTAACACCCAGCAGATCCCACAATCATTAGAATCCTAACACCCAGCAGATCCCACAATCATTAGAATCCTAACACCCAGCAGATCCCACAATCATTAGAATCCTAACACCCAGCAGATCCCACAATCATTAGAATCCTAACACCCAGCAGATCCCACAATCATTAGAATCCTAACACCCAGCAGATCCCACAATCATTAGAATCCTAACACCCAGCAAAACACAGTCAAGAACCTCATACCCATCAGATCACAAAATCAAGAACCTCACGCCCATCAGATCACACAGTCAGGAGCCTAACCCATCAGATCTCACAGGGAATTATTAACAGACTAAGACAACAACATCACGCAGCAGATCACACAATTGCGAGACAAAGACAACACGCACACACACACCAGCAGGTGTTGTCTTGGGCAGACCACCACAATATAACCCCAGGGATCAC